TCCATCCCAGCCCATCTACCAGGCTGCAGAGGTGGGGGTCTCAGACAAGGCACTCCCCTGCGAGGAGGCTCCTGCAGTGTCACTGCCCAAAGCAGAGAACTGATCCCAGAGGGGTGTGTCCTCTACCAGTAGAGGTCAGAGCTAGCGTCCAGCAAGGAATCCTCAGGATCAGGCTCAGGCTCAGGATGGGGACCTGGGCCCTCTGTGTCCTCAGCAAGCTCCTCCCCCACACAAGACCCTTCGCCCCTTCTGGGCCGTTGCACCCTTGGCTTTGATCCACGCCCAGGATCTGGAGCTGGAGTTGGGGGCAGTTCCAGGAGGGAGGGGAGGCTCTCGATGGTGGTCGGAGGTTCAGGCGGGGAGAGGAGATGAGGAACAGGGGGAGAGAAGGTGGCTATGGCCTGGGACAGAGGGACAGGGAAGGGGAGGCAGTGCCTCTGTCCAGGAGCGGCAGCACATAAACCGTGACAAGCACAGGATGACAGCCAGCCCTGGCTCACTGGTTAAGCTCGTGTGACTTGAACCCCAGCATTCTGTCTCTTGGGGACGTACTGAGTGCTAGGATGATTTCATCTGTTTAGTAAAAGCACATTTCATTTCATCACTTCTCTGAGCCACCATTTCTTTATCTTTAAAAAGGAAGTCTCAATGGTCTCACTTGGTACCACGGCCCCACACAGTGAGAACTCCATGGGGGGTGGTGTCACTCTGCATCAGGCAGACACGTGAGGACAGAGGGTGAGACAGGCACACATAGCCCTGAGGAAGCCAGCAGGACGGTGGCCTCACAGATATCTCTGCACCGGGTGTGGGGCTGGCACACAGGGCATCCTTTGGTCCCCACCCAGGGAGGGGTCCTAGATCTGCTGAGAAGGCCTGGGAAAGTAGCCAGGGACATATCTGCGGGGGCTGGAGGAGGCTTCTACTACGGGAGAGCAATGCATTGGGCCACCGCCCAGTGCACTGGGGGCTGTGAGGAATCAGGTAGGTCCCTGTGGCCCGGAGCTCATGCTCTGGACAGAGGATCCTGGGTTCAAACCCCAGCTCCAGCATTACCTGCTGCATAGCCTTGAATGAGTCCCTGCCCAGTCCCCTTGTTCCTCCCGTGGAATATGGGAGAGACTCCCCAGAGGAGGTGCAGAAGACTCAGGAGGGCAAGGCAAGGGGAATAGAGAGGCCCAAGTGGCCCGAGGATGTGGGAGAGTGGCCAGAGCAAGGACAGGGTATGGAAGGCGGGGAGGGAGGGAGTATAGAGTGGCCCAAGGAGGGAGAGAAATGTGCTGATCCCCACCCACATCCAGCTGCCACACACACTTCTCAGGAGGTGGATGCAGATGCCACATCACACACCATGGGATCAGCATGGCTCTGAGACCTTGACGAAGTTGTAGGACCTATGCCCCACGCCCCAGGACTGTTATCTTCAGCTAAATAAGAAGCAGCCACCTCCTTTCTGGGCAGGTTTCCAGCATCTGTCCTGTCCTGGCCAGCCTGTCAACATGGCGGCCCGACAGGTCTCTCGTCATGTCACCCGGCCCCCTGGGCACCCTGGCTTCCAGGGCCCCCCCAACTCCCTTGAACTTGCCCTTCGCTCTCCTGCAGCCTGGCCTCCACCCCCAAGGCCCCTGTCCTGCTGCCCTGCTGGCTCCAGCTCTGTGCTTAACACCTCCCACCTCTCCCTCCTCACCTCTCACCCAGTCTACAAGTCCACTTCATCTGCTCCAGGGCGGCTCTGTCCTGTCACTGCTATGTCCCACCGCCTGGCACACAGGGGTACACCCAGATATTTACAAGATGAACAAAGAGTTTGTTCAAATTCTTCACTTCCCTTCATTCCCCCAAGAGCTCTGAAAAACATGAGCACACGCAACCTGTGTGACTGGAAGGCATTTTGTGAGCAGGACCTAGGCACTGAGGGCCGACGGGGCTGAGTGCCTGCACTGGGGACAGCAGCTACACATGGTCCAAGGCCCGGGGGACTCAGGCACTCTGCAGACCACTTCCAGAGCAGGGTCAGGGCCGCCCAGACAATGGCCCAAAGCATGCTGGGATAAGGAATTTAACTCACAGCTGTACAGGGTAATAAAATCTGGGGAGAGTTGGCCATAGAGAAGGGACAGGCATTCATGGCAAAGGGGAGGGTGTGACTTTGAACTTTAGAACATCTTGGGGCAAGTAGAGGGGTTGAAAGGGACTCAGCCAGGCTCCACGCACAGGGACATTTGGTGACCCCAGATACAAGAACTCAAACCCCCAGCATCCACTGGCACCGCAGCACAGGAGCCCCCCTCATCGGGAAGGCTCCTACAGCATGGTGAGAGCGCGCTTTTCACCCCATTTTACAGGTGAGGACACCCAGAGTCAGAAAGGCTAGGACTGGGCCGCGAATGACCACCAGGCAGCCCTTTCCAGCGGTCTCTCCCTTCTTCGAGAGGGGTAGGCAAGCAGCCTATGGGGACGCTGGAGTCTCGCGGACGCCCCACCGTAAAGGCAAAGCTGAAATGGCCCCAGACTGAGCACAGCTGGGGGCATGGCCACACCCCCGTCTACCACGGTACCAGCTCAGGCCGCCCAGGGGGCCAGAGGCC